GCATTTTTTCCCCCTCAGAGTGGGGAAATTAAAATTTAGGAAATTGACAGTAAAGCTCATCCAATCCCTCAAATATTGGCAGAAGAGGTGGCAGCTGATGGCACGTTATTGTCTAAGTATAATTACTCACTCTGTTAATGTTGACTAAAAGCTACTTCAATTAGATACCAGACTCACTATCTTCTGAGTATGAACATCTGCAGATTGCAGTGCCTTGCAAAAGTATTCACACCCGCAAAAGTATTCAAAACCACAAAGTTCAATTTATCTACTGGAAATGTCTGTGACATACCAGCGCAAACTAGTAGATAAAGTAGGAAAATTATTGTTTCTTTCTCATTTATTAAAAATCAGAGTGTGTTGTGGACATACGTTTTGTAGAACCATTTTTATTACAGCTCTGGAAAAAATTAAGAGACCACTAAAAATGATCAGTTTCTCTGATTTTACTTTTTATAGGTTTATGTTTGAGTAAAATGACCAATGTCCTTTTATTCTATGAACTACTGACAACATGTCTCCAAATTTCCAAGCAAACATTTTTGTATTTATTTGCAGAAAATGAGAAATGGTCAAAATAACAAAAAAGATGCAGCGCTTTAAGACTGTGTCTTTTATGTAGAAACAACGATACTGATGTTTTAACTCAGGAAGAGTTCAGAAATCAATATCTGGTGGAATAACCAGGGGGTTTCCAATGGGCTTCAGTGCAGTGGGCTCTTCTTCTTTTTTTCCCAGAGCTGTATGTCTCTACCAGCTTTTCACATCTTGAGGTTGAAATTTTTCTCTCCAAAATATCCTTTGTTCAGTAGGCCTGTCACAATAACAATAACACATTTTGCTGGACAACAAATTGTCCCAAAAATAACTGCAATGAACAGTAATGTTGTTTTGCCACCATTTTCAAGTAATAATTTGATATTGGCATAATAAGGCAAGTTCGTCCTCTCAAACACCAATAAACAAAAAACTGGAACTAGGAGATACTTAAATGTCAAAATGAAACAAACTACCAGAAACAATTTTAAAAATGGGAATAAAAACCACATACAACAGAAACCATAAATAAAATGAATTATGTCTCTGCGAACAAAATTACCCTTCAAAAAAAGTTAATCATCAGAACGGAAATTATCGAGCTCATTTTAATTTATGATGCGATGAATTGATTAACTGTTTATTGCAAAAGGCTTAATTGGAGAGCGAATGCACATACATGTCTTGCCATAGACTCTCAAATTACTTTTGGTCTAGACTTTGACTGGTCCATTCTGACACACGCAAGAATATGCTTTGATTAAAACAAAACAAATAGTTCTGTTATTACTCTGTCCATGTGAAGATTAAACTCCACCAGAGTCTTAAATGATTATATGTAACAAATTAACTCAACTTTTAAAAGTTTTTTTCAAGTGCAGCCCCTTTTTTTGAGTGCATAACCATCTTCTGTCTGCTGGTTGTTTATTAATGTTCCCTATAAAAACCTCTGAGAAAAGAAAACATCAGTCGTATTTATACTGAGATTAAATTACACACAGATGGATTTTCTTTATTAGACTTTTGGTTGCACTGGATTTTATTTAGGGGTATCAATGTAAAGGGGGCTGAATAGCGACGCACACCAGTATAAAACAAATATAGTCTAATTAGAATAATTTTTAGATGTTGAATTTATCACACTAAAATCTTATTCTGTTCAATTTTGTATATGATTTCTTTTAACTTTAAATTTGCCTGCAAAAATTCACCTGTAAAATGTGGTGACCTTCTGGTGACCAAAGCAAAAGCAGTCCGTCCCAGATTAAGTCAAGTGGCTTAATCTAGGACTAATTATTAAGAAATGCGCCTTTGGTCCAGCCCAACACACTGGTGTCACGTGATCAAAGGAGCGTAATTTGATTGGCTAAAAGCCGATTGCCAAGCCAAAATGTTTGAAGGGGAATTTTTGGAGTCAGATTTAAATTGGAAATAAATGCATATCCATAATTGCATTCAGTAATGTCTAAAAAAATAGTCTGACTCTAATGAGACTATATTCCTTCCAAACGCCACCCTTCTCAAAATTCTATATAAAAAGAGAAAAAAATGCCTAATTTTGCATCCACTTCGCAATTATTCTCCATGTCATGTTTGTCTATTACATAAAGTCGCAGTAAAAAGTTTAAACTTTCTGGTTGCAAGGTAGCAAAATGCTTTTGCAAGGCACGATATGGGAGTTTTTGTTTGTTTTGAAATGTACAAAAATACAGAAAATCTAATTTATTAGTAAGAAATTAGGGCATCTGAAAATAAATACAAATGGACTTGCTGGTTCCTTGTGCTATTGTTTTTATTAATGTTATCATTGCTATTGTTGTCATCATTATTAATTGTAGCAGAACAAGATAAATGAAAACACCCCTCAGCAATCATGGCTTAAGTTTCTTCATACTGGAACGGAGAGAAAGAGAGAGAGATAAGGAGGAGAGTGAGAGAGAGAGAATGAGTAAGAAGGTGGAAAATCTTAATCAGTTTTTTTTTTTCTTTGAGGACCATATGGATGGTTTCAAGCAGCCAACCATATGTTGAAGGCTTTTGTCATGGAAATCATACTTTTTGGCACTTTTTCATTGCGCAGCCAAGCCGGGCACATAAATAGAAAGAAAAGAAGAAAGGAAATTAAAAAAATCATACCCAACATGATCAGATCTTTGAGAAAACACAGAGTTGAAAGTTGTTGTTCTAACTTATAACAGATAGCTTCTTAATCAAGACGCTCCCTGATTCACATGGCCAACCAGACTGCAATTGGTACCTGCATTTGTCTTTTCTTTTTAAATAGAAAAAAAAAGACATGGATAGAAAAAGAGCATTTAAATGTCTACATGCATTGTGATATTATTGCTGTGATATATTTACAAATATATTTACAAAATCAAAGAGGAACAATGTTTCCCTACATCTAAATGCAATATTTTTGCTTGTTGTGCCCCTTTTTTCTGGAAATAGTTTTTTAATACTGCCAGGTTTAGATGCAAGCCTGTATTTACTTAATATGCTCAGTGCATGTATTTGTCACTTTAATACACATCCCCCATGTTTTGGAGGTGCTTTATTGTCCTCTTGCACGTTAATATAGAAAAACATAAAACAATCTTTTGGAAGCAATTATTTTTTTTGCATTTGTGTAATATTACAGCGATGTTCCAGATTGTGTGTCCTACACGTTGATCATTAGACAGGTGGTTTGGATGCTCTCATGCAGTGATTCAGCTGTAGCACTACACAGGATGATGGTGAAACAGAGAGAAGAGGATGAACAAATAGAACAGAAGCTCCTCTTTGCTCTCTTTTCTCCTCCTCAGCTTTGCTTTTTTTTAATTTTTTTCCAGAGCGAGCTCAGCATTACTGCGATAGTGCCATCCATTTGGAATATGCAAATAGCTGACAGTGCATTTGCCTGCTGGTGCTTGACCTTCCCCTTGGAGGTCGCTCACCGACTCAATTACGCTCCCTATCTGCAGTCTGTCTACAAACACCTGTTATCCTCCCACTCTCCGCCACCCTCCGCCAATCCCACTTCAGCACATCTAATGCTTGACGCGTCTGTTCAGAGGCAGTTGGGACAGGGTGAGGACGGCTGCTGCGTAGGGGAGGGAAGCGGGGGGAAAAAACAAAAAAAAAAAAAAAAACCCATAGAGCTCCGGTTTAGAAGTGCAATGCTGCGTGTCATTTTATTACAGCAATTTGAAAAACTTTCTTTTCCCTGGAAGTTAATGCCAAGATCGTTTAACGAGAATACATAAGCTTCCTTCAAACCGTTACACACTTTGGTGTATTTAAATACTTTATTATTATTATTATTATTATTATTATTACTGTCTTGCTGTGTTTTTAAAGTAGAATAAAAATTATTAAGTGAACAAATAGCAACCTCGTGTCAGTTTTGGAGTTATGACCTGCTAATCTTGCCGTCATTATTGCTGTTGCGCCTCTGCGGCTTTAGCACACCCAAGACCTTTTTGTCTTCTGATTTTCAGTGTAGACCACTTCTGAGGACTTATTGCCTGAGATTGAAAGACAAAAAAAAAAGAAAGAGGCCAAAAATCTCCGTCTATGAGGAGGTGGAGGGCTTTTGGGAAACAAAATCAATAATTTTTTGTCATTGTTTTCTTTTTATTGCCCTAAGTTGAACAAAAACAGAACAGCTGTGATTGTTTTTCCATGTCAATTGCTTTTTCAGTCATGTTATTGCCACAAAACATAAAACTAATTTTGCATTCATTCATTGGAAGTCCTCTAGCACTGGTACTGTACATTGTTCCTCTTTAAAACTAAGTCCCATGGACTCTCTACAGTTTTCATGCATATAAACATTTTCTTTGAAGATCAGCAGCATCTTACAAGGTCAATGGATGTTCGTTTTTTTAAATTGCAAACAATAAATAAATACATGATAAATAAGTATTCAATAAATAAGCAAAAAATAGGATGAATAAATAAATAAATAGATAAACAGGAGGATAAATAAAGTATTTACATGATAAATAGATGGTATGCATCTACTAAACCATGGGCGTAGCTTTGAGCGACATATAAAAACAGACAAACACAAAAATTTGTCACTTTGTAACTGAGGGTGTGCGAGTCCGTATGTTCACTCTGAGGTAATACTGGTGGAGGGGGGGAGCACCTCAAATATGGGGTCGAGATTACTCATTAAGACTGGACGAGGCACCATGGAGGCAGCGGCGTTTACGCTAGCCAGCATGGTGGAGGAAGAACAACAAGAGTTTTAATTGCTATAGATGAGTGAACCGCTCATGGCACTTATTAGATCATTTGGTCTGGCTCTCTGTGAGTGTGTTTTTTTTGTTTGTTTTTGTTTTTTTGTCCAAGTCTGTGCATCAGGGTGAAACTATGAATCGGATCGGATGGTGGAAGTAATAATACCTGCTCAACAGGCCAACATTTTAAAATCGCTGTTCCTGCAGAATTGATCTGAATGACATATGGTCGTCTTATAGCTTATTTAAGATGAGCTCTGTTTCATGTACCCACAGTTACAAAGAAGCTTTTGATCAACAAGAGATAAAAAGCACAAAAAAATAAATTTAGAAAAATTAAATAGAAAAATAACATCCGTTGAATTGAAACGTTGGTGTGGAAAAAAAGGAGGGTTTGTCTTTTTTTTTACCTTTTAAAATGATCTCCCTTTTTTTGCAAATACTGTCATAGTTCACATTTTTGTAAAAAGTTTATGTTGGCAGTTGCAAAAGAATTCAATTCTTAGCAAATAAAAAGCAGCATAAAAATACAAGAGGTCATTTTGTCTCTAAAAAACAAAAGAACACCGTTAGTCCTTTTTTATGTTTTTTTTTGTTTGTTTTTTGTTACTATTTCCTATAAAATATCAGGAATCTAAATATTATTACTATTGATATCAATATTATTATAGTCATTGATAAAAATTCACATGCCAGGCCTCATATATAATTGTGTTGTAAGTGTGGGTGTGCATTCATGTATGCGTCTGTGTGCGTGCGTGCGTGTGTGTGTGTGTGTGTGTGTGTGTGTGTGTGTGTTCACGTGTTCCCACGTTGGTGTGAGGACACGTTGCTGAGTTGTGTACAACTACCATCTACAGTCTCTATTTGGGGGAAAAGGTTGATTGATTGTATGTTTCTGTGGACGATTAGCTACTGTGCAGGGAAAAAAAATCCAGCATCTTTTGAAATTGTCTTTGCCATAATCAGTTATCAGAGTTTCTTCACGTAATCTCAGTGAAAATATTGCTTTCTAAAAAAAGGGAAGAAAAAAGGCATGGAGGGCAGAGTGATCAGGGTTATTGGTTGTGAACCTTCGACAGGGGTTCAGAAATTTTGCTTGTCTCGTGTGTTAGTTCTCTGATCCAGAGTCGTCTTCGTCCGCAGAGCCCTTGAAGCAAGCTGACTCATAGTGCTTGTTCAGGTAGGACTTGAGAGCGAAGGTCTTATTGCAGCGCTTGCATCTGTAGTGCTTGAAGGCAGAGTGTGTTTGCATGTGGGCGCGGAGGTTTGAACGGTCAGCAAAGGCTTTGCCACAGTGGGCGCAGGCGAAGGGCTTCTCCCCCGTGTGAGAGCGCATGTGGCCCTGCAGCAGCCAGGGCCGGCTGAAGGCCTTGCTGCACACGTCGCACTTGTGCTTGAGGTCGTGGGTGAGGATGTGCATTGCCAACGCCGGCATGGACACGTACACTTTGCTGCAGGTGGGACACTTGCGCGCCATCTTGCTGTCCAGGCTGCGGTGCGTCTGCTTGTGTCTGCTGAGGTTGGAGGAGGTGGCGTAGGTCTTCCCGCACTCGTTGCAGGTGTGGCGAGGCACGCCGGCGCCCCTCTCCTGCACCCCGCCGTTCGCGCTGCTGCTTCTCGAGCTGGACCCGCGAGCCTCACCCTCTCCCTTTCGCCGGGAGCGCCCATCGGAGATGAAGAAGGCATCCATGGTGTAACCCTCGGCCAGAGCCTCCGATTCACCAGTGTAGAAGCCGCTGGCCGTCATGCCGGACTGTGGGCTGTCGGGGTGCTTCAGGTCCGGGTCGCAGTACTCCCCTCCGCTGCTCACCTGGGTGTACAGGGGGTCCGACACCGGCGATGCCAGCTTATGCTCCATCTTCTTCTCCCCCTGGTATACAGATGGTGTGATGTAATCCTGGATGTATCCTGTGTAAGAGACAAACAAACGCAGTTGGCCAGAGGTTGTGATGGATGAGGACACGGTGACACATCTTTGATTACATTATTTCAATCTGGGATGGCAGCCCTTTCTCAAAGCAGTGAAAGGATGAGTGGCAGCACCGAGTCTCTTACTAAACTCCAGTTATTCTCAGCAAGAGAGAGAAAAGTGACACATTTAGGCTGGTTACCATCATTCAGCTGCACCACGGGAGTTATTGTTTGTAAACCACTAAAATATTTTGTCAAGGGGAAGGGATAGGTGAATTTTATCGCAACATTTTATGTTATTATTGTGATAACGATAAAAATTATGATAAAAAACAACACATTTTTAAGTAAATGTATGGCTGTACCTGCATGGCTCAGCATTCATAGCACCACAAACACAAATACTGCCCTTAAAAAACATTCCTGTTTGAAACAGGCTTCTTCAGGACTCCACTTACTAAATCGCATACTCTAACGGCATTTAATTATATTTTCAAATTTACTGATATTTATTGATGCTTTCATTGAACAAGTAGTGGAGAAACATATTGATAATACTGTCTTGTTTGGTTTTGTTTATTAATTGAAATTTATCAAGAAAACGATAAATCTGTATTCTCAGTGTAAGAAAATTTTCACATTAAATGATAAATGCACCAATTGCAGTTTTCTGACCGATCACCAATCTTTAAAAAGCTTGTGCTGCCGATTCTGAGTTTGGCATATACAGATTTTTTTTGTCTGAAATGTCATTAAATATAGCAAGAAAGTCGCTAAGTTGGGTGAATATGGTTAACTGCACACATGCAGACATGGCCTGGTGGGCCGGTCCGCCAGTCCCTCTCTGACTCAGACGGTGGATGATTTTTGATCTCTGCAGTTTCCGGAAATTAAAGAAATTTGGGCTGATTTATTGGTGCTCCTTTGATTTTGTCTTATCTTTCTTTGCTTTAAATGTCTTTAAATGTGAGATTCAAGAATGAAGCATAGAGTAACTCAGCGCCACCCCTGCCTCACTTGTTGCTTCTCACTGCCATCCAGCTTGTCCTTGACACTCATCCGTTCTCAATGAAGCTGTTTTAAAACTAAAGTTTGAAAACTATGAGCTATGGCTAAACTGTGATATTTTTCTGAATTATATTGTTAGATTCTCATAATGACTCAGTGAAGTTTAGCATGTAGGATATAAACTGGGCCAATGAACTAAAGATCTTAGAGTTAACGTAACACATCACAGAAGATTTTAGTTCTCTGTTTACATACAAACCGTTTTCCCTTGATTTTCAGAATTTAGCATAGTTTACATTTTCATTAATACATTTTTAGCTGCAATCAGTTCATCACAAAAATCATCTCTATTAGAAAAACCAGGTCCAATTCATTATTATAATATGATATTACCCACTTATGATTCGAAGAACTAGAACTGCTATTACTGCAAGTCGGTGATATTCACAGCAGTTCTTCCTCTGAATCAAGCATGTGGCGACAGTGGGGACATGATTGCATCACATTATAGTATGCAGGATATAGTTTAAACTAACCTGCTTATGTCATGTTTTAGTTCTGCAGTAAGCAGGGTTTAAGATGATGCAGGTAGCCACAGCACACTGTGAGCTGTTTGTGTTTCCTTCAACATGTTCACTATAGAATGCATTTTAGTCGGCATAATTCTCGTCCTTCGTTTTTACCTCCGGAGAAACTCGAAGACAGAGCAGCTAAAAGGCTTGCTGGCAGCTAAATGAACCCAAACAGAGGTTGATAGATGCTGAAACGGTGTGCAGCTCAATAAAAAACTAAATGCATTCCGTCTTCTGGGTTGGTATTTTTCAAGCGCAAACTCAAAATGTGGCGAATTTCTTTTCCTGAGCCAAAAGTGCATAACTGCATAAAAAAGGCATTCCTAAGCGCTGCGTGCAGCAAGCAGTGGAAATTAGGTATTGACTGCTTTTTAATGAAATTCAAAGTTTTGAACTGATCAATAACCTATCATCTGTAAAATAGTGCAGCTGTTGGTGGAGTCCAATGCTGGAGAAGATAGAAATAATAGCGTGGAACAGATCAAGTGTCTTAGAGACACAATAATAGTTTATTGAATGCAGTTTGCTGGAGGACTGATAATGTGAGACATGGCATCACGCACCATGTTTCCAAAGAGGGTCACCTGTCTGCAGCAGCGAGCTTGCTGAAGTGCTTTCAAGAAACAGGCCATTAAGAAATCAGTTTAAGTGCTCTCTTACTACTGCTTCTCCATTCCCAAGGGTTTCGGTTCGCACACCCCCTTTGTCAAAGACGTGACCGTGACACCAGGGAACAAGGAAACTACAGGCCTGTGCACGCGGCATTATGCTGCACTGCATGGCTTCACGAGTTTAAACCGCACAGATGGTGTTTGTCTGAGACGGCGTCACTTTCTTTCTGAAAACCAAACAAATGGATCTGTTTGTCAGCTTCATTCCTACAGCTGCTGCTAAATGCATAAATGCTGCTGTTGCAGTAGTGATGAGCAGCCAAATCCACCTGTTTTACAGCCACATTAGCAGCAGGCACAGAGAGTGTTTGCTCTGCATTATAGCAAGGTATATATATTTTTTATTATTCTTGCCAACAAAAAGCTGTGTGTGCTATCACTGTACGCAGAGGTGTTTACCGTGTTTCAATTACTCAAGGTCAGACACGAAGCTCACCATTTAGGACTCGCGCTGTATCAGCCTTTACAGCTCATAGACTCATTTCTGTAATGCAAAGCAAGCATGTAATTAATGGACCCTCTCAGCCACCCCTCTTTGTTGTTCGACAGACACTCAAGTCAAATGTCTCCACAATGGGGGGAAAGAAAATCTCCCGGAGCAGCAGAAGTGCTGACGTTAGGCTTTTCAGCTGCGCTGAGAAATCTTTTATTTTATCTCCTTTATTTTGGACTCAGCGGAAAATGATAATTCTTTCTTTCAGATGAAAAGCTTTTTGTCCAGATGTTATGGTGACTTATTGTTCTTTTCTTCTGTTAATAAAAGTGCTTATTTTTCATGCCGTTGAACAATAGAGAGAAGAACAATAGAGTGACTAAAACTGTACAAATGGATTGTTAAGTGCAGGAAGAATAATTTAAATTCAGCACATGCAAAGACACGTCTCTGTGAGGATAAATAGTTATTTTATCACTGCATATCTTGAGTTTTAAATGTTGGTTTATTGCTTATTTTGAATATTTGCTGGGTTTTTTCTTTTTGGAAAACAATAAGAATAATTGTAATCTGGCTGCTTAAAATTTCACCTTGTCAGTGAAATGGCTGAATAACAGGTGGGCATCATCAACAGGGTCTAGCTGTGCTCTGTGACTCCTCTCCTTCTGCTAAAACGACTTGGGGAATCACAACAAAGGCTCTCATGTGGCCCACCAAAACGTGGCCACAAAATGGAAGCGACGATCCCAAAGCAGGCTGCGAAAGTGAAGGTCGCCCCTCGCCTCTGACCGGAAGCCCGGCCAGTCCGAGCGTTGACCACAGCGCAGTTATGCGCCTCGCCTCCGTGTTTACTGTACAACCTCCCGTCACGTGATCTGCCTCATTGCTGCCCCGAGCATTTTTCTATCCTTATTCTGCCTCATTTCGGCGCTCCTTCAGCTCCCCGCCTCCCTCCCAGCTCCGCTGTACAGTGTGTTGATGTCTCTTGTGGCGGCAATAGGCCTGCTCGGCTGAAACTCTAACCCCTGCTAGTTTTCAAATGCCCGGAAGGAAGAGAAAGATGTAGCGGAGCGATGGGGGTGGGGAGACTGTGTGCTTGCTCCATTTGGATGGGAAGAGGGGGGCAAGGGAGGATCGGACCATGATGGGACTCAAGGACAATAACAGCTAAGGACAAATGTATCATCTGATACTCATCTCTCATATTCATGAATTTTTTACTCCACATGATGAGCAGAAATTGCCAACCTTGCATGTGTTTGTCCACCACAGGACTCTAGCAGTTCTACAAATACGTATCCCAGCTCTCCTGATTAGACACATGTTTGCTTCCCTATTTACATAAACTAATCCGTGGCTGTGACCTGAATTGTGTCTGTCCTTCGCCGGAGTCAAAAAACAAAAGTCTGGGAGCATGGCGATGGGGGTGGGGTGCCTCGGAAGCGGATTATTTTGGATGTTGGTGCGGAAAATCAGCTGGATGCATGTAATGTGTCACATTAATTTACACAGTTTTGGTCATTTTAGCTGACTCAAACAAAAAATCTCGCCCAGCTAAAGAAAAACCAGGCATGCTGAAATCAGCGGCGGAGCTTGTTTACAGGACGTCTTTAACTAGAGGCATGTTGCAACTCACCATTCTCGCTGAGGCGAACCCCGAGACTGGTCACCGAGTCTGTGATGGAGCGGGCAAAAGTGAACGAGTCGTCCAGGTGGTGATGATGGTTGGAGTTGGCCACATTGGACGAAGAAAAATCATCAAGCTTGATCTTCTTCACCAAAAAAGAGCGGGGCATGTTTCAGTGGATGAAAACACGGGGCTGAGAGAAACGCATGAGAGAAAATAAAAGACCCTCTGAGGACGCAAACAAGCGGAGCTGGCTTGACGGTAAATCCTTGTGGTTGATGTGGTCAGAAACATAAGACAAGAAAGGGAAAAAAAAAATGGAAACCGGCGGAGAACGAGGCTGATGGCAGTGCTGGGTTGATACTCTTTGGTTCCCCCAGCGTCCCCCAGAAAAAATAAAAAAATAAAAAATAAAAGCGATCCTGTTCAGCACTGGATAGCTCCTGTGATGCAGCAGGCTTAAGAGACCAGTGAGGAAGAGAAGAGATGGAGACAGACAGAGAGAGAGGAGGGAGAGAGTGCAACAGAGAGAGAGAGAGAGACTGTCAGACTAGCTGAGATCAGCAATCACGCCAGCCTTTATATGGGGCACAGGCAGAGGAAGATCAGGTGGTGCTGCGAAATGGAGCTGCTTAGCTTTAATCCATCAAATGTCCCCAGGGACACACATCAAATTACTACTGAACCGTCTGTGCATTCGCACACAGACAGAGGAGAAAGAACACAGCCAGACCCCCCCCCAACTCCCTGCTGCTCCCCCTCCTCCTCTCTTCCCCTCCTCCTTTCACCCCGCTTATGCTCCATGCTCAGAGGAGGAGTAAAAGAGATGGGCAGACAATGGAGATGTGGATGAGAGCACACTCGGTGTCCTGTCCCCCATTGTCTTCAGATGAAGTGGCACAGTTTATGTTTGTCTTGCACCGGCTCTGCCTCCCTCAAGTCATCTCTGTTTCCTCAAATAGCCTCAGATCTTTCCTTCCTGTGGTCGCACCGCACTGAACTCACAAACCAACAGCAGGCACTGAGTTTCTGTTTAAGAGCCCCACTCCTTTCTCTTTTAAAGTTGAACTGGATTCCTGCACCGATGAGGAATCTGAGAGCTGCTCAGCTCAGCGCTGCCTTCTCCCTCCCCATTACTGCTGCACAGATGTGTGTCCTGCCATGCGTGGCAATGAATTATCTGATTAATTAATTACATCTTTTTTGATTAGGGTGAAATCCAGAATTAGATCTGTGCTTTCTAAATTGGCCACATATCTCTTGGCATGTATTTGTGTAAATGAATTTGCTGGTATAGAGTTTATTTGTGTCTTTCAGTGTACAGGCAGTACAGGTAGAGCATTATTTTTAATAAAGTAGAAGTGATGCACCTGTTTGATTCACTGTGAATCAACAGGAAACACTTGTGTCTCCTCACTTCTTTCTACTCCTTTGGTTAAAAATACCTTAAACTGGTATACAAAAGTCATGCTAGATTTTTTCAATGTCCGTCATTTTGACTGACGTCATAATAACATTAATATTAACATTTAATTGCATTTTATTTTCATTCTGTTGAGTCAATATTTTAATAGCTGGACAGAAAATCCACCTTAAGTCATCATCAAGCTGAATATGTTTATTTTTTTCTTTGCAGTGACAGTTTTCAAAGTGATCAGAAGTTGGCAAGACTCTCTGAGTGTTACCTGATGCCGAATAATCCTGCATCAGTGGTTCAGCTATGCTAGACGCTGATCCTGTCAAAGATGCTAATATTTGGTTACTGCAACCCATGCTGTTATAAAATAAAACCACTAACTATTAAACAAGAGTTGGTGAAAAAACTTAGAAAGTAAAGTAAGTTTGCATCTGTTATATATTTTTCTATTGTTTTATTAAACTGAGAATTATGATAAAAACTTTGGAGTTGGCCAAAAATTTTAAAATAGGTGACATGCAGCAAGATTATTTATATTACGGGTGTAGCAAGTAGGAATGAGATTTTAATATACATGGTGTCCGGAGAGCCTTAAAAAGTCTTAAATTTGCGTATTTAAAATTAAGGTCTTAAAAATGTATTATATTCAGGAAAAACAATAAGTTGCCCTTATATATGTTAACCACAAGTCTTAAATTTTGTCTTGGCGGGACAAATCTCACATATTCTGTGCAGTTTATTTTTCTTGCTAGATTTTTCTTCAGGCTAAAGTTTGAATCATTGGACATTTTCAATGCGGTTGAGGCTAGCGCTAACTAGCTGTTAACATACCCTTGCTAGCCAGCAGTAGCTTTTTTGCATCTATCATTGATAAGTGCAAATTTGTCACCAGTTTGGCTGACCGACATTTGTACATTTCTGTGAACATCTAGGTCTTAATTTCATTCATAATGGAAATTTGACTTGGAGAAACCTGGAGACTCCTTGATATTACTTTCATGAAAACTTCAAGACGAATTCTTGCTACAAAAGGGCCTTTATTCTACATTTTTATTGATTGTGCTGCAAATTCAACAAACCAATGATTTTAGTGCTTCAACTATGCATGTGCTGCAGTACAACATTGACCATTTCCCAGTTGCGATTGATAGGATGCAGTATGATTGTGCTGTAGCCCATTGGTTGTCATTTATTGTTCCTACTAGGGACCCAAATGCACTTTTTGAATTACATTACTGAAATAAATTTACTTTTACTAGGATGTACCTGGTAGAAATGCAGAAATTTAAAACAAAACGGGAAGGTTTACAATAAAAATAGTATTATATACTCCAACCTCAAGAGATTTATTGATTTAATTTATTTACGTTTTGGTAAAGTGCTTGAATCTGGTTGAAGGCCTCATAGATTTCCTCTGACACAAGGGCATGCCCTTCCACCTGGGTCGCTCTAAATCACCCACACCACCTAGAGTGACCCTGCAGCTCGGACGCAGCTGGAGCAGAGAGGGGGCCAACGATGTTAAATCACCGCAGTGAGCATTTATCGCAGTTATGTGATTGTACATTACGGAACAAGTTGATGTTGTCACCAAGCCTGGCATGCAATGCAGGGGCAAGGACAAGATGGGTGAAGGAAAGGGTTGAAAACAATTAGCTGAAGTGCAGTTTGGTTTTGGTTTTTATTTGAATCATCTTGGAGGGAAAAGCTTTACTGATTGTAATTTTTGCAATATTTTTAGACTTGTAGTACATGACAGTTCAATTAATTTCCACTACTTTGGTAATGTAGTAGGGGTGTGACAGTACACAGAAATCATAGCGTGATATTTTGTGTTCATTCACTCCAGTCTGTTTAGTCCACTTTAATCAAACTCTATCTTTGTTCACATTTTGTGAAGAAGGAATTTGAGGTCATACCTTGTTCAGAGGTTTTTGTTTCCTTCAGTATTTCTTGGTGCAGTGCCACCCACAGGCAAGGAGGGGAACAGATTTATCAAAAAGTTTGGTTTGTTTGACACAGTGCAGTGTGAAAGTGAACCTCACCAGCTGAAAATGTAACAAATGTTGCAACGGAGTCTACAGGACTGTCAGGTGTGAAAATACTCTTAAAGTGGTAATCTGCCATGTTTTCAGTTTGCTTCAATCAAGAGAAACTAATGAAGAGAGACAATTAGGGGGTCAGCTATATATGTTTTTATCTAACAACAATGCAAATTTCAGTCATACTTTTAAAATGACACAAAACAAAAGAAAATGTGAATTAAGCGTTTCCACCCACTAGTTTGGGGCAAATCAACTAGGCTACACAGAGCGTCATTTTGCCAGAGATTGACGCTACACATGGCTGCAACAAACAGGAAGTAAAGGTTGCAGACTAGCATGGACCATAAAACTGGAGAGGTTTTTCAGGAATGTGTTGTTGTGTCGGGCATGTTGTAATTTTTCTGTAGTAGGAAACTAGTTTGGGTGATGTTACTTGCTATCTGGAGATGCAGAGAAATAAATGCACTTCTAACAGTTGATCAGTCGTGTGAAGTAAATGTTTACAAAGTTAGAACTTATTTGGCAGATGTGTTATGATCTCCCCCATTGGCGCATTAATTATTTTATCGAAAGAGCTACAAACAACCTCAAATTATTTTTTTTGCCAATTTGAGAAAGTTGTTTTGAATTTTGCCATTTTCATCAAACTCGGATGCGATGTAAAATATGCATGAAAAACATTGATTGATGGTTTATGTCTGGGTAAGTTTGCAGTTCCTCCTTCACATTCTGAATAAGATGTTGAACTGAGCTTTGTAAGATATTCACAGCTTGAAATAGTTTCATATTACACCCTGCAACATCAAATGCATTTTCCTTACATGTTGATGTGTTTAAATTCAGTTAAGGAAATAGATGTTGTAATGTAATGTAAAAGCACAAACCAGCAGACTTAAACAGTTATGCTGAACATTTTATAATTGGTTTCTGCACCTTGTTTATCCCATTATGGGTTTAGAGGAGGCTGGTGTTTGTCACTGCTGTCAACAGGTGAAACAGGGTGAAACAGCCACCAGTCTATGCCTTCAGAAACATGTTTATTTCATTGCATATGATCATTTATTCCTAAATAATTATATCAGCAACTCATCGATACGTTAGGTAGTTCCAATATCCTCACATTGAGATGTGGTGACTGGGCACATAACCCTGCCCTCCTTCAGGCCAGAGTAAGGATTTTTACTCTGCTGTGCTGGAACAGGATGTAAAAATCTGTAGTGTGGTCAGAAGAGGGGAAGCTGTGAATATCAGCCTCATTAATATCCTGTATCACCCTCCAGGGTTATGGAAATGTGACCTGGCTGGCCAAATGAATGAAATCAGGCTGGTTGATTTGCTGCTTCACACAAGAGACACTGCTTACATTTCCCTCATCTACAAGTCAGTTTGCCATTTCTATTTATTGACACCTGAAGTCTGTTCAATATTTAAACTGTCAGAAAATTAAATGACAAGTCTTACGTATAGAATAATTTAAAAATTGGACTCATATGCATAAAACCTGACACTTTAGCGCTGCATGCTTATATAAAGGCTTTCTGGGCTAAGGGAAGAGAAACTAAAAGTCCATTAAGTGTATTCATCTATAATTCACCTTACTCTTGCTTACAGGGTCACTTGACTGAGGCTTTTTTAGGCTGGTACAATACAAGTCAATGCACTGTTTAAAATGGCAAGGCCTGCTAATCATTACAAAGTTTAAATTTAGAAAAGACTTGTTTTTTGAGGCAGGAACTAAAATAAAATGTACTCTTTTTATTTTACATAGACACAACATTGTGCAACATTTCATTAACCTTTTAAAAGGAGAGAAACTTTTAAAAGCTAAAAATGCTAATTTCCACGTGCAGTCCCTGGACAGGTTGATGGTAATCCCGTAAGACTGAAAAAAGCCAGTGTAGTAATTAATTACATACATCTCCAATAATTTATTGGTCAGATCTCACTAAAATCAAGCCACAAAAAAAACAAAAAAAACTGCAATCCAATGCTACATTAGATTTTTATAACTTTACATATAAATCTACCACAATAAACATATACATCTTTGAAAAAAACAAAGAGCCCACTGCACTGAACCTGACTGAAAACCTTCTAGTTATTCCACCAAAACTTGATTTCTCAGAATCAGAATCAGAAGAAATTTATTGTCATTGTCAGAAAGACAATTAAATTGCAGTTCCAGTACAACCATCCATTACACAACAACATGGGGGGGGGGGAATTTCTGAAATCTTCCTGAGTTAAAACATTAGTATTGTTGTTTCTAAATGAATATGAACTTGTTTTCTTTTCTTTATTGAGGTCTGAAAGCACTGCATCGTTTTCATTATTTTGACCATTTCTCATTTCTTGCAAATAAATACAAAAGTTTTGCTTTAATTTTGGAGACATGTTATTAGTAGTTTATAGAGTAGAAGAACAATGTTCGTTTTACTCAAACATATACCTGTAAAAGGTTGGATCAGAGAAACTGATCATTTTAAATGGTGTCTCAATTTTTTCCAGAGCTGTATGCTTGTGTAGAGAACTATTAATATGCAAAAAAATTCAGCTCATTTTGTCACACTAGAAATTTCAGACCTTCAAGCATATTTTAAGAAAGATGAAATATAAAATAATTATTTTTTAATCTATTATGGCAGAAAAAATGACACCAGCACCGATTTGTTCCCATGTAAAAAATTTAATTATTCCCTAAACCTGATAACTTGGTTGTGCCCTCTATGAGGGCAGTGACTGAAAATTGGTAATAAATCATTTATATTCCTGCTGAGGAATTTCAACCCACTCTTCCTTGCAGAATTGTTGTAATTAGTATTTTCTGTGTGCATGGGAAGACAGATTTCAATCAGATGTAAATTTGGACTTTGATTAGGCCCCCATCAT